CTCTTTGATGGTTGTTGGTGGAAGAGGGCAAAGGGAATAATAATTAGTACTCCTGGAAATACCTTGGCTCACACTCTCTCCTGCATTGCCAGAAAAGGGGACTTGTTAGTTAAATCTTTCCATGTCTTGAGTGGTTAAAAGCAAGAGTTTTCTCCCCAATCTGTTGCAAGTACAGACTCCCTTTTTATTCTCACAGGTCAAACTGACACAGAGAACTCAGACTGCATATTTCAGATAAGACATGCTATACATGCACAATAGACTAACTGCAATACGTAATGTTATATGAATAATTCACTGAAACCTCAATGATTGGTTTATTCTGCCTTCTGTTGTATACACCCCTAAGAAAACTGTGTTTCATATATAGGATGTACACGCATTAAAAAAGCAACTACTTTCTTATATTTCTTTATATGACTGGCATGCTCGTTGAGTGTTCATTGCAGTGAACATATAAAGAGATAATAGAAAGCAGAATCTGTTAAGTGAATAAGTCCATGGCAGCGTAAGGGTTTCAGCCCCTGTAAAATTTTGCAGCCCAACAGTAGGGGACTGATTAAACCACAGACAACCCTTATCCTAGATGAGTCAGAATAAAGAGAAAAATTCAAGAATAACTATGTGGTTTCTGATCATGTAACCTTTTATATTTTCTGTTGAACACAGAGCTGGGCCTAAGCATGGCAATGCTAACAGCCCAGAGCTGTGCAATAAAAGATCCCAGACCACCATATACCAGCAGAGTAAGGTTGTCACAGGCGGAGGAGAATGCGCTGCAATGATGAAGCCTGGATAAATATACCACTGTTTGCAAAATGGAGGATGATTTGAAAGCAACACAGCAACATGTAACAGCTACACAGCCGGAAGCTATGACCACACAGTAACATGTTGCAGCCACACAGGGCCGGACTGGGAATAAAAAGCAGCCCTTGAATTTTTTTACACCAGCCCTAACATTAATTGTGCCAACTGTGACAGATATACAGGTGGAAAAACACAAAGGATTGAAAATTATTTACCCAACGTTTCATCCCCAAAACTTGAATAGTCATTGACTGATAGCTGCTGCATGTCTAATTTAAATTAATCTTAATTTGTTTAGTCCTCAATCCTATGAGTGCACTCTGCGTTGGATATAGTTTGATACCAGGGAATGAAAGACTGAGAGAAGGGCAGGGTTATCGACTAAATTAATAATGTTTGTGAATACATTTCAAAAATTAGGCTATAATATTCAAGCTGTCAATATGGCTAAGTTTGGATTTTTCAAATCCGCTATTTTGGTCTAAATTACGCAATTTAGATTTTCACTTTCTAAAATGAGAAATTTAGTGAATAACACTTTGAAAAATGTAAAACCCTTGTAACATTTATATACGTGTGTAATCTCCAAATGTGTGTTATGTATGCATATGTCTATTAACATATGTGTATCATACTGATGTTTGTGTGTATATGTATTTGTGTGTGTGTGTATATATATATATATATATATTATAACCATAATAATTTATAAGATTATGTGTGTGTGTGTGTGTGTGTATACACACACACGGTTTTACAAATTAGTTTGGAATCTAGCAGGCAGCTAGAAAAGTTAGGAGCCAGAGAAATCAACGTCAAAAATACAATTCTTAAAGGGACACTATAATCACCAGAACCACTACAGCTTAATGTAGTTGCTCTGAAGTCTATATCCTGACCCTGAACGCTTTTAAATGTAAACACTGACTTTTCAGACAAAAAGCAATGTTTACATTGCTGCCTGGTGACACCTCTAGCAACAGTCACTCAGACGGCCTCTAGAGGTGCTTCCTGGGTCAGTGCTTCACACTCTGCAGCCCTTTTGTTAATGTTCCCTATACAGATACATTGATTCAATGCATCTCTATGAGAAGGTAAAATGGTGCAGTGGCAATTTGTCGTGCATGCGCAATAGTCCCCCAATGCTTTGCTATGAGGAAGCATTGGATTGGCTGAGATCGTCAAGATTGAGGATTTCAGCCATGGAGGTGGGGCCAGCCACAGCATGGAAAAAAGGTGAGTAAAAAAAAAAAAAAAAAACATTTCCCATGTGATTGGAGGGAACACACACACTTACTGACCGACTCAGACTCACTCACAGACAGACACAGAGACAGACACTCAGACCAACACTCCGACAGACACACACTCACAGACATACTCACAAACACACACACTCAGACAGACACACACACTCACTCACAAGTAATTACTCTTTTATTTAAATTTACCTTTAGAGAGCTGGAGAGAATATGCTTTCCCAGGGGTCCAGTAGCACTGCTGTTATTTCCCTACTCGGCTCCCTCTCACGCACGTGAATCACTGCAAGCTGCGCAAGGGAGCAGAGCAGGGAGATTACAGCTCCTTCGCCGTGGCACTAAGTCTGCTCTGCATTACCTGCTCTGCATTACCCGGCTGCTCCCCTCCGTCAGCTGCCCACCTTTTCTACCACAGCTCTCCATGGGCCGGCCACCCATCTCCCTCCCTCTGCAATAAATGAGCTGGCCGCCCCCAGCAGCCTGCCTGCCTCAGTCCTCAGTGATCCCAATGCCTGCCTCTACTCTCAGGCAGCCGATCACCGTGGGGGCTGAACATATATATATATATATATTTTGATATAATACACATATATTAATATACATTTGTGCAAATATATAGATGCATAATATTCCCACAAATCACCAAATCACATAGATAAAGCAAAACTATATAAAACTATATATAATTTCTTTTAGATTCAATTTATTTTAAATTTAAAAAAAAAACATAGACAGACACATGGATTTTTAATTCATAAATACTCACTGGCACACACAGGCGTGTAGTCACTGATGCCCATACATACTGACATGTACTCATCAACAGACACTGGCACACAAACTAATGCTGCATCCCATACAAACACTGGCACACAATCACTAATGCATACACACTCCCTGACATACACACACACACATTGATCCGCACTGATACATTGATCCATACTGACACACACACACACACACATTGATCCGTACTGACACACACGCACATTGATCTATACTGACACATTGATCCATACTGACACACATCAGTATGGATCCATACTGACACACACATTGATCCATACTGATACACACACACATTGATCCATACTGACACACACACACTGATCCATACTGACACATTTATCCATACTGACACACACACACACACATTGATCCATAATAACACACAAACACACACATTGATCCATACTGACACACACACACACTACAAAAATACACACCAAACACACTCACAACTACACCCTCAAATATAAACACTCTAAGAATCAGTACAATACATACTGACATGTACTCATCAACAGACACTGGCACACAAACTAATGCTGCATCCCATACAAACACTGGCACACAATCACTAATGCATACACACTCCCTGACATACACACACATTGATCCGCACTGACACATTGATCCATACTGACACACACACACACACACACACACACTGATCCGTACTGACACACACGCACATTGATCCATACTGACACAGTGATCCATACTGACACAGTGATCCATACTGACACACACACACACACACATTGATCCATACTGACACACACACACACATTGATCCATACTGACACACACACACATTGATCCATACTGACACATTGATCCATACTGACACACACACACACACACATTGATCCATAATAACACACACACACATTGATCCATACTGACACACACACACTACAAAAATACACACCAAACACACTCACAACTACACCCTCAAATATAAACACTCTAAGAATCAGTACAATTAACATGAAATGCCTAGGTGCCTCTGCTCACTGAGCCTACCTTGCTCCTTCTCAGCAGCTTCCCTTCAGCTCTCTCACAGGGCTCCCTGCCTGAAAGCACTTTACACACAGGAAGCAAGACTTCAGAAGACCCTGTGGGCTGCCCTCCTCTGCCTGATTGCCAGGTCACATGCTTCCTGTGTGTGAAGGCTGTCAGGCAGGGACAGAGACTTCCATCCTCCCTGCACTCACTCCCGGCTCCTCCTGCCGGCTGTCTGCTCATTGTCTCACTCGTGAGCAGCATTGGAAGTTCAATTTTCAGCACCTGCTGCTTGCGAGTGGATAAAGGAAAGCCTCTTCAAGAGGTAAAAGGAGACCTGTGCTCCCCAGTACCCCTAATGTGAGTGTGTGTACTGGGTGGGGAAAGGAAGGGCTGCTGCACTGTGCGGCCCCAAGTGCCACGGCCCATCTGGAAATTTCCCGGTATCCCGGTGGGCCAGTCCGGCCCTGAAGCCACACAGGATCTGGGACTTGCCAAAAATGCAAAATGATGCAAAAGTTAAGTGTCCAAAGAATTTAGCCCAGTCCACCATAAAAAATATACAGGTTTATTCACTAAAGTAAAAATTCAAACTAGCCAAACTGTAAGCATAGCTGATTTAGAGAATATTTATAGTTCAGCTAGTTTCACCTTGAATTCGAAATTCACTTTGAATTCTCACTTTAGTAAATAACCCTGAAAAATTTATGTAGTCAAAAGGTGCACATATTGTCAATTGTCAACAGGTTTCTCAAGGTTGATTTGCACTTTCCAAGTTTACTATAGAGTGAGGGGAAACTGCTACTTAATATAAATTACGGCTTTATTACTGTTGTACATAATTGAAGGCTTTATTACTGTTGTACATGTTCTAATTAGTGTGTTAATAGCTGCTTGAGCCAAGGAGATATCTGATTGTCATTTTGGGGTCAAGAAGGAATTTTTTCCTAGTTTGGAAAACTAAATTGGAAGTGCTTCAGACTGGGTTTTAAAAAAAAAAAAATGGGACTATTCTGGGGGGCGTGGCCTGACAAGCAAAGCAGATGGTCGCACTGTGCTGAGCTCCGCACATCGAAAGCACGAAACAGCATGATATAAGTGGTACCGGCTCCTAAACATACCACCCTAAACCCTCCCGACATGGCATCGCAAAAGATTAAGAAGCAAGTGGAAAAAAACTACCGCGCCGGCTTCTTCACGACCCGGGCGCCGACGACAAAAAATTTGGGCCTATCAGAACAGGAACAAGATGGCGACGGAGGTAATGACACACTGCCACTGCAAACCTCCCCAGGGGCGCAAAACTTACCAGTGACCCAGGACTTCTTGCAGAAGTGCCTAGACAACATGTTCAGTAAGATCCTGGAAACCCTGCAAGGCACACTGAGAGAAATGAAACGAGAGATGCAGGAGCTGGGGGACAGGATGGCACATGTGGAAAACCGCATGGAGGAACAAGCCACAGCACACAACGAAATGGCGGAACAGGTGAAAGATATACAGCAGCAACTAGACCTCACACAGACAGGGCCGGACCAGACCAGCGGCACATTCTGAGGTGATTAGTCACCTTGCGGCCGGCGGCCCCATCTCCTGTGATGACAGCTATGCTGCTGTCAGTATCAGTGAGTGTGCCGGGCGGCCGCCTAAACAATCCGGCGGCACTCTATGATGTGTAGATGCTGGGAATCATGGGAACCGCGAGGGAGCATGGTAGCTAGCTCCGCCCCCTCCCTTAGTCCTCCTGTAACAGCAGGCACACAGAAAAATTGGGGAAGGGGAAGGGGGGGACAAAAAGAGGGGTAACAGGGGAAGGGGGGGACACAGGGACTGAAGGGTAATAGAGAGACATAGGGCAAGGGTAGACACATAGACAGATGGGGTAATAGAGAGACAGGGGATGGGGGACAAAGAGAGGGGTAATAGAGAGACACCAGGGAAGTGGGGGACACATAGACAGATGGGGTAATAGAGAGACAGGGGATGGGGGACAAAGAGAGGGGTAATAGAGAGACACCAGGGAAGGGGAGGACAAAGAGACAGAGGGGTAATAGAGAGACATATGGGTTGGGGGGACAAAGAGATGGGTAATAGAGAGACACAGGAGAAGGGGGGACACAGAGACAGATGGGGTAATAGCGAGACACCAGGGAAGGGGGGACAAAGAGACAGAGGGGTAATAGAGAGACACAGGGGAAGGGGGTACAAAGAGACAGAGGGGTAAGAGAGAGACACATAGAGGAGATGGGAAAGAGAGACACAGGGAGGAGAGGGGGAAGAGAGACAAAGGCAGGAGAGGGGAGAAAAATACACACAGAAGGTTTGTTGGGGGGACAAAGAGACATACAGTAGGGAAGGGGAACAAAGTGACACAAGATTTGTGGGAGGCAACGCTGGGCTGGGGAAAAAGAGACAGAGTGGCTGGGAGAAGAGAAAGAGGCACACAGAGTCCGGAGTTAGAAAGAGACACACAGATGGGATTTGGAAGGGGAGAAAGAGTCAAAGTGGCTGGGGCTAAGAACAACACACAATAGGCTGGGGGAAAGAGAAGTACAGAGGCTGGAGAAGGGTAAAAAGAAACACACAGGGACTGGGATGAAGTAAAAGATGCACAAGGGTCGCTGTAAAAGAAAAAAAGGAGACAATTGGAGACAAGATACACTAAACGAGGTAAAGGTAATAGATGTAAATTGATGTGATCCTGACAGTAATACACATATATATATATATATATATATATATATTTATATATATATATTGATGTGTGTATTAGTAACATATAATTATGCCTATAATATTTACACATATAGTAATATACATTTATATATGCATAATACACACAGAAATGTCAATAATATATATATATATATATATATATATATATATATATATATATGTAATGAGCACGTATTGGCCATACTCATGCACAATAACATATTAAAAGTGAAGAGCGCACCCATAGAACTTCAAAATAAACAAGATCACTTCATTTTTTTTTAGTTGTGCAACTGCAGACATCCAGCATTTCAGTACCATTACTAAAATGTCCTTACTAGGCCAAAGTAGTTGTACTGAAACAGTATTACATGCAAATGTACGTCTACTTAAAATAAAGGCACACTTTTGTTTATTTTGAAGCCCTATATGCGTTCTTTCGTTGGAGTAAGAGTTTTCAATTTCAAGTTATTTTTTCACTCTCTATATCAGCACACTATGCTGGCGCGACGCATTATTGGGCTGGTATAGAATTTTTTTCCAGGGCTGCTTTTAGTTCCCAGTCCGGCCCTGCACACAGAGGAAGGTCATGGACCTAGAGGACCGCTCACGACGCCAAAATCTCCGCATCAGGGGCATCCCACAGGAGGTGAGGCAGCAGGACCTACATGAGTACCTAATAGGGTACTTTAAGGCACTAGAACCGGACATACCAGCAGAAATTCTGTTACTGGATAGATACCACAGGGTGCAAAAACTGGCGTTCCTACCACAAGACACCCCCAGAGATGTGCTTACACATCTACACTACTTCCATGTTAAGGAAGCACTACTCCAAGCAACAAGAGCAGGCGGAGAGCTCCCACAGAAGTACAAGAACATTAAAATGTTCACAGACCTTTCCGCAGCCACATTGCAAAAACGAAAGGAATTCAGGGAAACAACAGAAGCCCTCCGCCACAACAATATACAGTACAGATGGGGATTTCCAATCCGCCTCCTAATCAGAAGAAACAGCACGGTGACTACAGTGAACACACCGGAGGAAGGCCGCAAACTGCTGCACAGCTGGAACGTTATGCCAAATCCAGAGAGGAAAGACACAACCACAGCACTCAGAATGCCTCCAGAATGGAAAAAGTCCAAAAAATGAACTGGCACAGAGACACTTTTACTTTTGCTGATCCCACTATGGCAGCAACCATAGCCTAGCAGACAGCAAGGCGCAAGTATACCAAGCACTATATGTCTCATTATGTACACTCTGGACCACAAACACAACACACACAAAAAAGCCATGAAGGCTTGACGAGTGCAACGGCCACAAGCACATCCAGACATAAACTTCACACACACAAAAAAAAACATAAAAACACAAAGTCGTAGACATGCGCCAGTAAACCTCACGCCACAGCACTAGCCGGTAAACACACAGCACATTCAGCATAACACACATGAGAATATCGATAGAGAGAATCGGGCATTAGGTGTGCAACCAACCGCCTTACACTCTAGAAGTCTACATAGTAACCACGCTCACACCTGGCACTATTACGGTAGTGCAATACCCTTCAGGGGGAAATGTATACTCACGTTTGTTAATGTATACATTGTTCTGTTATATTCGACTGTTCCGAATGTTGTTTGTATCGCTAACACCTTAGTCCTGCTCCCTACAATCCCAACCCCCACCCCAGGCACAGCAGAGCCCCGCAGTGAGGCCCACGGGGGCAGCAAAAACATGGACCCCTTGGGGAGATCACATACCACCATGACGACACACACAATGACGGAAATACCCAGTACCCTTATATACTATCCAATAGAATATGAAAATATATAGCCACAATGTTAAGGGGTTGAACACCCCAGTAAAGAGATACTGCCTAACCAAAGATCTGCGCAAGACACGCCCAGACATAGTATGCTTACAGGAAACACACTTTAAACAGGCGTCCAACCTGGCACAAGCACAGTACCCAGTCCAGTACCATAGCACGGCCACATCTAAAACTAAAGGTGTATCTATACTGATCAGCAAAGACGTGTCATTTAAGCTCCTGTACGAGGCCATAGACACACAGGGGAGGTACATCAATTTGACCTGTGAGATCAATAACTATTGTCAACATTTACACAGTAAATGTCAATCAGAGAAACTTCCTGCACAAAATCATAACACGCCTCATGCCAGTGCAGAGGGCTGTCACGATCATATGCAGGGACTTGAACCACAAATGGGACTCGACAGTATGACCAAACACGTCTAGAAACACAACCCTCACACGAGAATGCAAACCCTTAGTCCGCCTACTTAGCGAACATGACCTATATGATGCATGGGGGGTACTACATCCAGAGGAAAGGGATTATACATTTTTCTCCCAGGTCCACAACACCTACTACCGGATAGACGGGTTCTATTTAAAGGGTACATTCCTCAACCAACTAACATCTTGCTCAATAGGCACCATTAAATGGTCTGACCATGCCCCAATCACTCTTGAACTGCAAGATGCATATGACTACAAACACCGCAGTCCGTGGAGACTGAACGAGACCCTTTTGAATGACTCACAATTCTGTAAGGACCTAGCCACTGACATGCACCTTTACTTTACTAACAATCAGACACCAGGAATAACGCCGGAAACCTTATGGCAGGCCCACAAGCCAGTTATTTTGGGGATTTCTCATAGGAAAAGCAAACGCGCTAAAACGAGAGTCCCAAACAAAAACAAAAAGCTGGCTAAAAACATTGTATACTCTCAACAAGCAAAACCAAATGACCCCAACACCAGAGTTAAAAAGACAAATTCAGGAGAAGTTAGGAGACATTAAGGAGCATGACCTGGCGAAAACAGGGTTCCACCTTCGAAAAGTCAGGGCCACACACTACATACAGGGGAATAGCTAGGAGACTGTCACACAGGAGCACAAACACTAAGATCCCATTCATCCAAAACTCTGCAGGGGAAGAGAAGGTAACGCCCAAGGAAATAGGTGATGTCTTTGCGGAATACTATACAACCTTGTACAATCTAGAGAATGATGCCAACATATGCCAACCAAATCATGCCAGTATAGAGAGATACCTAGAAGGGGTCCCCCTACCATCACTAACTGGGGAACAAATAGATATACTGAAGCCCCTTGTGACAGACCCATCCGTATGGGCTAAAATTGCTGTGTTCGTCTGTTTTGCCGTTTGCATGAATTTCCCCATTCGTATGCCTTGGTTAAGGGAATGTATTTTTTTGTCGAACGGAACTACCAAACGGACAGCCACCCAGAAGAGAAGTGTGCTGCTGGTTAACCTATTGATCCCAATTAGAACGTTGCGGTTAATTACAGACACTTCTCAATTAAAACCGAATACCGGGTGGTCATCGTTCGTATGTTGACCACGAGGCGGCGGCCATTTTAACTGTGTGAAAGCCCAGCGGTGTTCGACAATTATTTCATGAACTAAAAACGGACACTTTTTCCACCGAACACTGCTGAAGCCGTCGACCTCCCCTTCTCAATCGACAAAAGTATACGAATAGCGGCCGTTCGAGAGATTTAAAGGCACGAATGGACTTAACCCAGATAGCCTTCCCATGGAGTCAATCGCATACCGAAGGACTGTAATAGACTTTGACTCCATGGCGATTGAGCTGTGCGTATGGGATCTGAGCGCTATTCGCCAATAATATGCACTCAGATCCAGGCTATCTGGGGATGTGTTATACGAATGCAATACGTTCGGCAGTTATAAAGTTCTGTATTTTAATGTGTTTTGTAACTTTGAGTTAAAATGGCGATTTGCCTCTGCTCTGGGAGATAATTGAATTACTTCCCAATTATCTCCCGAGCAGAGGGGAGGAAACTGTGATGCATGCTGGGAATATTGTGGGGATGTATGTCTGAAATGTCCCCATGTCCTTCTGTTATTCCAGTCTCCCATTTGGTCCCCTAGGGGAGTGTCCACCAAGTGGGAGACCTGCATAAATATGGGCAGGTAGCCCACAGTAAACTCAGTTCGTGTTTTACCCTCAAAGCGGAGCTTGGTCTCGTTATTGGGGGGATTTTATTACCGGCGACTAGAGACTGCTTATTGGGATTATTTGCCGCTTGGAAACTATTGCCGTTCGGCTGCTATTGGCGATTCGTGCAGTTGGAGCTCGTGAAGGGAAGGAGCCGTACAGGTACCGTTCGGGAGATTGGAGTGTTCCCTGGCTGGCGGTTCGCATGGTTATACTGTATACGCTACCAGACCACATTATTGCGAACGGGGAACATTCACTATGCATTTACTACTGGAGGTACCGTAACACCCCTATTAAAGTGGATGAGGTGCTCCAAGCCATCTAGCCCGCACCTGGCGAACTTATTCAATGCAATTACCCTCAAAGCTGACGCACCAGAAACGATGCTGGGTGCACACATAGTCACGCTGCCCAAACCGGGGAAACCACCCACGTGTAGCCAAAATTTCAGACCAATCTCCCTCCTAAATACGGACATTAAGCTATACGCAATGGTACAAGCCAACAGAATAACCAACATACTCACAACACTGATCCACGATGACCAGGTGGGCTTCACAACGGGTAGACAAGGGTCAGACAACACCCGGAAGGTACTTGACTTACTGTACAGCCTGCTTCGAAATGGGGAGGGGGGTTCTTCTCTCATTAGATGCCGAAAAAGGCCTTTGACAGGCTCAACTGGCCCTTTCTGCAGGCAGTGCTTGGTAAATATAAGTTCCCGCCAGCCTTCATAAATACTGTCCGGGCACTTTACTCGCATCCCACAGCCAAAGTCCTAAACTCTGGGTTCGTATCCAAACAAATTCACATCACCAACGGCTCGCGACAGGGGTGCCCCTTCCACCGCTGGAACCCCTGGCAGCAGTCATCAGGGCTGATGCAGACATACAAGCAGTGGCGTACTAAGGGGGTTGCGGGGGGGCGGACCGCCCCGGGTGCCAGCCGGGTGGGGGGTGCCATGGCCAGCCCCCCCGCCCCCCCATGCTGCAGCCGCCCGAGCGCTCTGTAAAGAGCCTCAGGCGGCTGCAGCTTTGCCCGGGCGGTGCGTCCATGAGGGCGGACCGCACCGCCCGGGCGCAGCATGGGGAGAGGG